AAATTGGTTCAACGGTTTCGTAAATTTCCACAATTTCTGAAACTACCTTAGTAGAAACACTTGCTTTCAATCTTGTTCATTGATATCCTTTTAACAATATTTGCCAACTGCTGTAACCAAATTGTCCCTTTATACGGAAAGACAGTAAACTTTTGGACCATTGGATGATGGTGAAATCATAGAATGTTCTGTTTCTGTCAAGTTTATTGAAATAGTGCTTTATCAACAATAGATTTGTTTTTTTAAATTTATCCACCCTATCCCTATACTTTTCCTTTTGATCAACCCTTGTCTTTAGCTCTGTTTTGTATTGGGATTTTAAGCGTGTAATACATTCTTCGACTGACCATCTAGTCTTAATCGACGGGTCTTTCATATGCAAAATAAGTTCTATTAAAAGGTCATTAAATTATTCCCTTGTAGAATTAATATTTTTGGAATAGTTGATTATCTCACCAATAGTGCATCCCAATTATTCTTTCATTTGTTCTAAAAATTCATGGTTATATTAATTACATCATGGAGTTTCCTTTTTTTAGCCTTTGGTTCAGTCTTATCATCGTTGGATGATTTTTCGTAGCTCTTCAGCTGGATCGAACATGAAACAATGACTTTTTTTAAATTAAAATATTGTTAAATTGTTGGCGGTTAAAGTTCATCTAAACATTGAACAAAGGAATTGTCAAATTTATTTCAGAAGAAATAGAAGGAATAATTAATGAAATAGGACTCGGATTATCTAGATTATAGGATAAGACTTGTCGGTAAACAAATTATGCATAATGAATCACCTTTATTGTAATCAGACTTTAATTCATCAAAAAAGACCAACGGGTCTGCTTGCAAACATAAGACCAACAAGAAGAAACAAGAAAATAAAAGTAAGACAAATTAAAGCCAGCATGATAAAAAGAAGTGGGCTAAAAACGGCCTTGTAGTATTGATATTCATCATATTTTGGATTTCCAGGTTTTTCATACATTACCTTCTTCCATGTAATTTGAGAACTTGTGGATGGTGTTGTATTCACTTCAATGTAGAGAGAAATAATCTCATCCACTTTTAGTTTTGAAAGATTGGATGTGGCCATGGTTGTTGCTCTCGTAACTGTGTTATTGCTGTTTGGGTTTGTAACATTTTCTATTTGGAATGGATAGAAATCAACCATTCGAACAATTGGATAACATTCTGTCTCTCTTCTATAGGTTTTACAATTATTGAAAACATTGACAATTTTGGCTGTAATCTTAACATTGACAATGTCGAAGAATTCTTCCTGTAATTTATCTGCAGTTGAATTGACAACTATTGAAGCAATGAAGAAGGAACAGGCTGCAAGTAGTGTGGCGCAACACAAAGAAATGCCGACCACAAAAACGATGGTAAATAGTTTGCTCAGTTTTTTTGATAAGTAAATGTCAACCGATGATTATTTTGTTTCTCTTCCTTTTTAAAAAGGAAGGCAAACTGTTGTAATCTAGTCGTACCTTGCCGATATACTAAACATATTTGAAACTATTTAGAACAATCTCATTGTAAACAAGTCAGACCACAACTTTGGTATTGAATACATATTTAGTCAATCTCCTGCTGTTCATTGTTCTTCTTTGCCATTTTTACAATGTGAATGATAACTACGATTTTCGCCAATGAGATTTTATCTGTAAATCGCTTATTCATTTACTCTTTAATACCATTTCCCCTGAAAGTCTTGATCATTTCTTTCATACAGGTTGACGAAAAGTCCGTTTCCATTTGTGATTAGAACTATTAATCAAGATGGATGAGCTCTCACTTGATATTAATAACATTCCAAGAGATGTGTTTGAAAAGAAAGATATTGAGGTAAAGATTAAGGAAAATTCACTTGGTGATTTGATTACAATTAGTGCTGAAAAGAAAACAGAAAATGGTCATTTCCAATTCTCTAAATCTTTCAGATTTCCAAAGGGTTCGCTTGATTTGGAAATACTTAAAGCTTCTCTTTCAGATGAAGGAAAATAAAGCAAGAGTTGAAGCAATTTCAATTCAATAAAATTAACTGTAAATATATTAATATATTATTAATATCTTTACAACCATTGTCGTATGTTTTATAATGGCAAATTGACATAAATATACTAATTTGGACTAGCTGTCATCCATTTAGGGAATTGTCATCACAAGTTCATTCAAGAAAAAAATGTCGCCATTTAACAATCTCTTCTCTGTTCTTCAATTAATCAATAATAACAATCAAAACGCTAGTAGATGTCATCCTTCACTTATGAATACGCCCTGGAGCAGGGAATCATCAAATGCAACTTTAAATTATGGACTTTGTCCAGACACTTATTTTTCCTTCGCAATTACATTAACGTTTCTAATAGTTTATTTGATAACACTGGTTTTTTCATTGTTGGGAGTAATATGGAAGAGGAATAGTAGTTATGTTAGTGCTAGGAATCCAGTTTATTTGTTTTTTACTTTGGGAGCTTCGATTTGGTTTGTTGTTGTGTTGACATTGAGGAGAATAGTGTCGAGCAAGACATTTCCATGTGGTTTGATGACAATTGGGTTCTTTACTTTCCCACAGGCGATTGCATGGCCATTAATATTTAGATTTATGAGAGCTTTCTTCATGTACAAGATTAATTTAACCAAGACGAAACTATTGAATCGAATACAATG